TTTCTTACTTTCCAAAATCAAACTGAAGTTAGAAGGCATTTGCAATTAAATTTCCGTGTTACAATTTATAAGTGATAAATGAGTTTAAAAAGATGTTTCAATAGCTCTACAAATGAGTGAGTGTGTAAGTTTTAAAATTATTATTTTAAATAATACTGAATGCTTTTTTCCATTCTAACAAAATTTTTTAAATTCATACAATTTCAGAATTTAATTGCCAAATCTTTTAAGTAGGCCTATACAAATATTGTGTCATAAATACACATAACATGAATATCTTAAGATAAGTGAAGAATATTAATATTAAAATTTAATTGATACGGATGTGAAATAGAACAATAGTATCTTCAAGCTTCCTTGATGAACCATAAAAAATGTCAAAAGGCATGTAAAAAAAAAATAAAATAAAATATTTTTTAAATTAATAAGATAATATAAATAGTCAAATAAAAGTTATAATGCATGAGAATAATAATAATTTTAAAATTAGAACATAAAAATCAGAATTTTGATTACTTTTTCAATATTTCTAGATAGACTGTAATACACCTTGTATATATATTTTATAATATATATAAAATATGTGAGTATGGGTATGAGTATATATTTATTTCAAATATTACAAAATTACAGACATTGAAACCTGGCATTATTTTCCTATTTATGCTTGGAATATGAACATATATAATTCATTCATCAAAATATTTCTATACAAATATATTTTTCACATATAAATGAGATTATTAAGCTCAAGTATATTTTATTAATCATAATTTCATTATATTATTACTAAGATTATTTCATAAATGTGTGTGTAAAATAAAATTAAGAAAACATTTGAATCAATCAATATGTAAATAAAATGAAACACTTCATGTTTAAACTTTTAATTTTTCAGAAATTTCAACAATAAACAGTTAATATTTTTGTCAAAGATTTACTTTAAATTGAAAAAGACATGATTAATTTATTCAAAAGATATTTAACTTACTGTAAAATTAATCAATCTGGCAACTATTTCCTCATTAAAAAATGAGATAGTCAATTGACATGATATTATTATTTTATCATTAACAAAATCTAGCCTGTAAGGAACACTCAACAATTTTTTTTTTATCAACAACAATATATTTAAAAATTTAAATAAAAATTTCAATTTAGATCTGTAATCTACACTAAAAGCTATAGATCTATGACAATGAGGTATTGACATGTGACATTAAAAAAAATTTAAAAATTATTCCAAATGAGATATCTAAAACAATTTTATAAATTTTTTTCAATTCATGTGTGAATGGCACATGCCTCATTCTAGAATTTGTGTGTGTAACTGAAGAATGGCTACTGAAGTAGCTGAAAACATTTTATAAAAATATAACAATACATTATATTATGTTTTATCAGTAACTGAGAAGAAATGCTAAAATAAACCATTGTATTTATTTTTAATTATATAATAGCAAAGATCATAATCTCTTCATTATTATGCTTTTTAAATCTATATTCATTAATGTGAGAAACCCATATCATTTTATCAATATAATCAAAAACATCTGCAATTAACTTTCTATTAGTACATCATACTTTATATTAAAATATTTTTAAGTTAAAGAAAATAAAATAAAATTCAAATCAAATAAGCCTGAATTTAATTTGATTTTAATTATTAGTGGTAATTAATGGATGATCTAGCTGATAATTTTTAATGGATTTATCTAATTTTATTTATCTGTGAGAATAAATGAAATCAAATATTGGTGATAACAAAACTAATGTTTATATTCAACAATTTACACAGACATTAACACAATGAAAAAGTTAAAAATTTGAAAGATTATGATTGCTAATTTCATAGTCAAAAAAACTTTTTTCATTTAAAATCTATTATATATTTATTAATTATTGTTAATATTATAAATCATCAATTCTTCTAAAAATTATAAAAAGAATCTGACATTTAACAATTGAAGCTTAGTATTAATATGAAAAAACATGCAGATAATACTGAACAAATGAAGAAACTGAATTACATAGATTTTTTTTTTCTTTCATTGTACCAAATCAAGAGTTTCACTAATGATATAAAAATAAATACTATTGTTACAATAAATAAAAAACTAATATAGCATAGAAAAAGTTTTTCAACAATCAATTTGAATATATTTATATAACTTTGTCTCTATTATCACCTTTTTAAAAATATAATTAGTAATTTGTTACTTTTATTTGCATTTTATTAATTAATATGATTATTTCATTATAGTAATATTTCAACTTAAGTTTTTTCCTATAAAAAGCTAAATTAAATACCCTAAAACCTTGACCATAGGCCACTCTTGTGTATAAGCTGTACAAGTTTTGATTTTTGAAATGTTGATTTTTTCATGGATAAGACATTTTCCTATATAAGCTGCATGTTATAACGAAGGTTTTAGGATAGCTCAATTACCATTATATCTCATAATAAAGGTATGTTAATTACTTTAAAATTTAAAACAAATTGATTGTCTTGCATTAAATATTCATAAATGATACATAGCATTGTCTCATATGTGGAAGATTTATAAATTCTGAAGATCATAAAAGCTGAAGTTATTTCATGTTATACTATAAATGGCAAATATTTTGTTTAAAAATTTTTGATAACAACTACATATTAATAATATAACTAATATATAAATAAATAAAAACTGCATTTCTAAAAACTATATACTGTACAAATTTACTTATTCACACTAATACATTAATAATCATTTCGTCAATATTTACGCATTGAAATTCCATTGTTTACAGTAAAGCTACATGTCCATCTGAAAACAGAGTAATAATAACTCTTGAGAAGTCTCGAAGATTGTGTGTCCATTAGTTATTTTATTCTCACTAGTTATGCTAAAAATGAGATTCAAATATTAACTCTGAAAGTTATCTTTAGCAAATGTCTATTGACTTAGTTGATAATAATATTATCAACTAAAATGTATAATGATTTATGTTAAATTTTAACTTTGGTCTTCTTTTGCATCTGATCTTTAGCAAATGTCTATTGACTTAGTTGATAATATTATTATCAACTAAGTCAATAGACATACTATATCAACTTTAGACATACTATATATATATAATTCTTAATTCTTTTTTAAGAGATCAAACTTTCTGTATTTATGTTATAAATGGCAAAAATTCTATATTAAAATTATAATTATTTTTAAAAATATTCTGAAGCTTTCATCTTTTTCTTCTGTTTTATATAAATTAATTTAAAACGAAAAAGAAAAATTTCATTTTACAAATTCATCTAGCTTACAACAAAATAATTACTACTAGATAACTTATCATATAATAATAATAATAAATCAACTTATCTTCCATTTAAAAACAGAATAAAGTGTTTTAGTTTTATTAAATTTGTTGGAGTTTTTTGCTATTTCTTGCTGATATAATATTTATGATTAGAACAAAATAATGAAAAAATCAAATCCTTGTTATAAATGTTCACACAAAAAACAAGATAAATTAACATTCAGTTTTCAGAAGATATGAAATAAAATTTTATAACTTATTTCATTAAATTTAATTTTCATATAACTTTTATATACAGCATTTTTCATTGATAATTGTGTATTATTTTATAGCAAATATATCGATTTCATTTCATAGACTATAAAAATAACAAGTAAAACTTAAATTTTGGTAATTATTGATACAAAGGACTAAAAACAAGATTACTATTACATTAATTACACATATCCTATTTACTCACTCTAGAATTATAATTTACAAATATTTTTTGTAAACAAACATTTTAATTCAAATATATTTAAATCAAAAATTTCAGATAAATTCATAATTAGTATATCAGATTTATTTATTATAAATTTATAGTAAACATAAAGCATTTTCATAATTCTTTAAATAAAATAATGAAAAAAATGATGTTTTAATGTAAGTTTTAAAAATCGTTTTAATTAAGTCCAAAATTTAATATTACATTATATATATATAAGGGATAGAATTTAATTTTCAGTATCAAAACTTTTAAAACTAAATGCAAAACAAAGTGAAAATTTTATGAGAATTCTACAATAATATAAAAATATTGTTTTAATTTAACTTATTTCAATTAAATCATCATGCATAATAGCTATATATTTTTAAACTTTTTGAACAAACATTTATATCTGATCAATAATTCTTAAAATATAAAATAATTTATATAAATGTGATGCAATCCATGAAAAGATACAATACCTTACATCATAAAAATTTCACCGTAGAGCGAAACTTGCGATCAAGATCAAAATTGTCAATTTTTAGGTTTCCTTTTGTTAGGTGTCAGTACAAAATAATAAAGTAACCAAGTTTCTTTATTCGAACATGATTTTACAATAATTTTTCATGCAAATACGAAGGCATTTTTTTAAAGTTATGAATTTTTGAATTAAATTTTCAAAACACCGTAACTCAAATACAGCTCAAGTTTTAACCAATTGAGCTGTTTTTCTTTATAAATATCTCTTACTCTGCATAAGACACACTAAAAAAATAAAAGAATAAATAAAAATTAATGTTTTGAGGAAAGTACCTTTTTATAGGCTCCATCACAAATATATATATATATATATATAATGTGTGTTGCTACATTTAATTAATTAATAATTGTCTATTTAAAAATGAATTTAAGCAATTTATTTATTGTCCCAATTTGAATATACATACAGATAAATGTAGAAGTTACTTTCAGTTAATTATTTACTGTATACATAGATATGTAATTCAAATGCAAGCTCTGCATTATTGTAGACAATCCTCAGCATTTATATAATTAAACATAAAATTGCTAAAGTTCAATTTAATATATTACATATTTATTTTTAACTTTCTACATTTACTTATATTCCTTCTCACCAAACTTTTTTGTTTTTCTCCCTTTTGTTTTGAAGTTAGTCAAGTCTGAAATTCATAATGAATAGTTTTCCATAACGATTAAAAAAAAAACTTACCCAGAATATGAGTTTTTCTGTTTCCAAAACCATGATTTAGTTGTTTGGATCCTTCAAATAGACCAAAATGGATATAACCACGAAATTTTCCTTCGTCCTCATCGGTCAGATTGACAACCATTCTGACAGGTTTAGCAACAATCCATTCCTTCGTTGCTAACGAAGCTGCTAGGAATGTTATACAGCCACAGCATATAAAAAACGTTATGAATACAATAATACGCTTTGTTACGTCCATTTTGTTTACAGAAATATAATTAATTTAAAAAACTCAATCGTTACACTCTCCTCCATCGTGCGAGTTGCTATGACGACAAATCTCGTTTGCTTGTTTGCCGCCCTCTGGCGGGGAAGTTAGGCGTTAACTACGTTGTAGTTTTTTTTTTTTTCCGGGTCTGTGAGTGGGATTGGTTGGAGGAGCAGATGGCGATCTCAAGTTGAAACACTTGAAAGGTCTAGAAGAAACATTTGACAAAATCAGTATAAATGTGGCGGATTAAAGGAAAGTGTACAAGGGGGTGTGGAGTCGTTGGTGGTACAGTACAGGACTCCGTGAACGAGCAACGTCGAAAATAAGTGGGTGAATTTACTGTTTGTCGACCGTTGGCAATAATTTGTCGATAATTGAAAAAATAAAAGGGAAGGAATTTGAGTTGCAGCTGGATGAGGACACAGATAATAATAATGATGCTCACTTGATTTGCTATGTACAGTTTATCAGTGGCGTGCCGTGACATTTGATGATAGGGAAGCTGTGTTTCTGTCAGAAGCCGACTTCCAGGGGCAGCCAGTCAATGATGGTCTAGGGCAGGGGTCGGAATTAGCGGCTC